ACCTGTTTTTTCACACTCTGTCAGGCCATACATGACAGTAAACAGTATCCCTCGGATTGTACCTATTTATACATGGAAACAACATGAACAAAGTAAAACGATCTCTTAATTCACAAAATTATTGCACAACATAATCATCTTTCTAAGTGGCCACATTAAAAAAGTATTTCCTTGCTGTAGTGGATTTCTTTTCTCTCCGATATGTGTGCATGTATTTCAACGTATAACAGTAGAAAGATCTACTTTCACTTTGAAAATTACTTACCCGAAATGATAGGTGTGTAACGGGAGAGGAGAAAATGCAGCGGACCAGACCGGGATTCGAACCCGGGCCCCCTGAAACTCCGGTCAGGTGCTCTACCAACTGAGCTAACTGGCCACCGGCGATCGAACCCGGCTGACCGCCACATTCCTCCCTCCTTAAAGGTCTTTGGCCCTCCAAAGACCCCAACCCAAGCTCATCCCTGGCAGGTCTTTCACCTGTCAATTCCAGGGCATGGCACGGCACCAAATGTAACGGGAGAGGAGAAAATGCAGCGGACCAGACCGGGATTCGAACCCGGGCCCCCTGAAACTCCGGTCAGGTGCTCTACCAACTGAGCTAACTGGCCACCGGCGATCGAACCCGGCTGACCGCCACAGGTGTTTGATCATTCAAACTTTTCGTCATTTTCATCTGATTCTTCGACAAAATCTCCACTGATCAATAAATCAAGATAATCTACTCCATCTTCTCACAGAAAATGGCCATAATCCATATAATGTGCAGAAGTTAGTTGTTTATCTCTTCAACAACAATGCCGGAAGCGCTTACTGCGCCCTCTTTTTTCTTTCCCGCAAACCGCGCGAAAATTCAAATGTAATTAAGCTTTTCAATGTGGATTTTGAAAAGGATTTATTCAACTGACAACTTTATAAAATATACCAAATGAGAGGTACATTCTTCTACTTTTCAAAACTTAATCTACATTTTCCTATTCCGATTTTACTTTTTGTCGATACGTGTTTATAGTCGATTGTTTATGTTTTACGCCAATGCCAGTTTGACTACTGCATTAATCCCTAGAATTTTTCGATTCTTTCATTACATATCTGTAAAAAAATTATATCAATAGTTTCCTCAAAGTGTGAGCATTTTCAGGTAATAAGTTTTATGTCGAAACATTACTTCTATTTTTTGCAACAACGAGGAAAGTTGTAGAAAACTCACACTAATAAAAATCATAATTTCGGAGTTTTTTCTCGCAGTTATGTCAGAATTAACCGATAATTAAGACATAAAATATTTAAATCTTATAATTGTTTTGCATATAATTAAATTCTACGGAGTCTCACGATTAAAATGGTACCTGATTTTTTTAAAATCCGTTAATTCTAAGCGAAACTATTAATTTTTTTTAGCAACATGTCAGAAAAAAGAAGACTTATCGGTCAGTATTGACCGATACGAACGTGGAAGGGTTAGCGGGCGGATCTTTTGTTGTAATGAAGTTGCGTAAAACAATAGAGAAAAGATAAGGACACATAACAATGTGTTGAGGGCACAGTAGCAACTGTAGCAACTGCTAATGACAAAACACCGCTTAATTTTTATGAAATAAATGTATTATATGAACGTTAACTATTCTAAACTCTACCAAATCAAAGTGCCAAATTTATTACTATGGTAAATCATGCGCGGATCTGGAGAGGGGGGAGGGGGGGTTGGGGTTTGGGGGTCCAGACCCCTTGTCGGATTTGCAAGGTTATCAAAATTATATATTTAAGAAAGTAAAAAGTGACCTTGGACCCCCCCCCCCCCCTCTTGAAAAAGCAGACCCCTCTGGAAAACGCGGATTTGTGTTAAATTTGTATGGAAAGTCCAAGGTTCGAAGCATAGATTTGGAGATTTAGTTAACTATAGTATTTTTTGTTGGGGTAGATACAAGACATGTATGTCTCATCATAGTACGTTGAAAAAGCTTATTGATCAAAATAGAATTATACATGTATTCTGTTTGAAACAAGCCAAGTTTTAGTAAAACAAAGTTCAATATATACAATGGATTTAAAAACGGTAATTTGTTTATTCAGTTTCAGTATAATATATATGCAGAATTTAAACAATTTGTAAATAAAATAACAATCCTCTTAGTAGCTGGTTATATAGGTAGTTGATATCTACCATTGTTATACCTTTAAAAATTTGTTCCTATACAAATCTATACGAAAAAAGTCTAACATTTTAATGGTTTGCTGAGCAGGCATAAAAAAAAATCGATGTTGGACCGCTGAGTGAAATGTTGGACCGCTCGGAGAAACGTTGGACCGCTAACGTCACAGAATTGGCGGAGCTTAATCTCATTTTCATTCGTTGGTGTTAAACAGTGACACACCTGATGTTACTTTACGGAATATAGTACAAAATACATGTATGTCAACAACAGCAACAAAAAATGATAAAATGAAAGGTATAACAAAACATTTATTGACAAAGTTCTTGGGCAAAATGCGTTTTGTCGGACCCTCGAACCAAACTGTTTGCCTTTGGCCTAACGGCCTCAGGCAGATAGTTTGGTTCTTAGGTCTGACAAAACGCTTGCTGCCCTCGAATTCATTCAATAAATGTATATTACATTTTCAACAGTGAAATACTGTAATTTATTCTTTGAATAGAAATGATTTATTGTCACAGTGTGAAAGGGTATCAAAATAATATCCTTTCACAGTGCGGTAAAACTCTCGAGTTACCTTCCCAAAGGGAAAATCAAAGAAAACGTAATAAACAGAAAATTATGGCTGCAGGTTCTTTAGGGGCGTGGTTAATGTCTGTAGGAACAACGGGGCTGAATGGAGGGGCACTGTTTACTATCGGATCTATAGTGGGTGGATGTTAATGAAGATGCAAAAAACATCTATAAAACCTTTAAACTAATGACATATAATAGATTATCAGCCCTTAATTGTTTTTCAACTGAATGTAATACCATAAAACGAAGGTAATTAATTCAGACACTCTGTTAGTGAAAAATTAACATTTCTCGAGTTACGAAGTATAGCGAGAAATAATTGTCCTAACAACATGTAAACAAATTGTTTGAGTCGGAATGGAAGTCTTATACCGGGTAATTGTGTACTGAGTAATGGCCAATGGAAATGGGTTTTAAGTTATGACGTGTTCAAATGGGTTAAATAGATTTCTAGTAATCATTCTCTAGCGCATGCTCTACCCGAGCAAGTCAAAGTTTTGTAAATTATAATAAATGGCAATTTCTAATATTAGGTTTGTGAGAATGAGTCCGCCATTCATTTTGTTTACCTCGCAATATTGCTGCGGACTTACAGGCTTCCATAGTTTTTTCAACATAAATCAGGGCTGTTTTTTATGTATGGTTTTTCCTGGGCGGCGAGGGAAGCATAGTTCAATAGTTGTGTTTATTTTAATTTTGTATAAATTGATAGCTGTTTTATACTGCTTTGTTCATATTGTGTGGAAACAGTAAAGCCTAGCGTCATCTCACAGTGCGCTGAAATGCATACAAATATGTTGTTGTTTATGTCTCTGAAGTGAAATGTGGACTGATATATTAATCAAAGAACTGTAAATTAAGACTTGCAATTTTTATTGGCGTTTGTTGAGTGTGAACATTTGAGTCAGGCTGTGACAGAACGACATAATATAAAATAAGTTAATTGAAGATTGGATTGAGGCCGTATGCTAAAGGTACTTGGACACAGATTTGAAGTCAATATTTTTTCTATAATATTACGACATATATATTTTAAAAGCATTTCACACAAAAATTAATTATAATTCTTATTTCATTCGAAAGTTATTAAAACTTGAAATTTTTTGGCGGGTTTGATTGACACATCCTTACACTTTCACAAAATTTAACCTTGTTCTTAATTCATAGGAAAAGTGGCAATCTTGTGGTGTATTAGTGAGAAATATTAAAACTTCTATCCAGAAAAATAGTTTTATTCCAAAGTACAAATGTTGGAAAGCAAAACTACCTCACAAGTATCGTCATTTTTAACTAAGGGTTGCTTACAGAGTTTAGCAAATCGAGCACACTCGTGTTATGTACACAGTTTTTGTAAACATGGCTCGAGTTCTGTTATTGTTTATATTTAGAATTTACCGGGTGCGATAAAATGTCTACGATTTCAATTTCTGCAGTTAATTTATTATATGAATATAATGATTTTAACAATTTTAAGGAACATTGATGTGTTAACATTTGAAAAATCCTTACGAAAATTTGTTCAGGAATTTCTGAAATATCACATATCAGGTTGATTGACGGTTATGATATAACATTAACCTGCAGGCATGTTTACGAGAATATCCTGAGATTGTTTGTTGAATCTTCCTTGGACCTTTTTTTTCAGGAAATTTTAGAAACCATCCCAAAATTAACTTCAGGTGTTTTAAAGCTCTCTTGTGAGTATACTAAACTAAGACGTCTTAAACAGTTACATCATAGAAATGCTGAAATCTGCAAACCTTTTTCAGGAATTAGAGAGAGAGTTTTTGTCTTTTTGGCTGTATAAATAGTTTAAGTTAAGTTCATTAAACTTTAATTAGATTTAAAATAAACGAAGAAAAAATATAAAATGCAAGCAATTCATCTGTGCCGCAGGACCTTTAAATATACATGGAGGAACATGTTAATGTTTATGTTAGTTAAATTGTTATTACAATTTATAAATGCAAAGAAACTGAATTGACAAATATGCGTTGTATTTTTAAAAAATAATTTTATATAAAAAAAATTACCTTAAATGTTGATTCTCAAGTAATTTCTTTCCCTTACTCTCGATATCACCAAACAGGATCTGTGGAAAATGTTAGACCTTTGTGGAATATGTTTATCTAAGCATGAAATAAGTAAACCTTACAAGATATATATTATGTAAAAAGTTTTCATTTCAGTACGAATTGAAAAAAAAACAACTAATGAACAACTCTTCTTATACACATGCTTCTTACACTACGAAACATATGTCGCATTTAAACATTCATTCTTTTCTTACATTTATAAACCTCGTCACTACGGAAAGGGGTACTCGGGCAGCCAGTTTCATTACATGTCTTCCAGTGCAAATAATCATCATGAGTTATGATTGGACAATGACCTATCAAAATAATCATTTCAATTAATAAAATAAAGAAATATGATGTTATAACATTTAATGTGTCAGCTAGTGGTTGTATGTTTAAAAATTATTTTTTGTAACTGATCTGATAAACTTGAAAATATATTAAGAAATGTAAACGCTAGAATAAATAAGAAGTGTCTTTTTAGTGATAATTATGACTGGAATGAAATGCCAGACTACTATAGGAACACTTTCTCCCATAACTTACCTTCACAGATATTCAAAACGCCTATGTCATATGTACTTTTTTCATTACCAGGATTAATTTTATTCTACATTTTCAGAGTATCAAACCTGTCTTTTAAACATGCAGCAGACTAACTTTAATATTTTTGTTGAATTATTAAGTAACGTTATCAAGATTATAAATCTTCCATATAAAATTCTCTTATGGTAGTTTATAGCTCCAATTGCTTGAAAGGAAAATGGTAATAAATATAATAAGTACAATTAATTGTAAAACAACTTTACGAATACAATTTGTGTTTCGAAAATGGACAAGTTGGACGTAGTGCCAAAGTTACATGTACGGATTTTAATTATTCTATAAAAGAATTTTATATGGAAAGGTTAATGAGAGATTCATGTGCAAGTATGTGTCTTTAAAACCACGACCCAATAAAAACATCAATGGAAAATATTTTAATCATTTACTGCGCAGCCTGTTAGAAATCAATACTGTTGAGGATGCAAAACTCTTTCTTCATTTCATTTCATGGAAAACCAATGAAAAATGAAAGTACAACAGCTTGGCATATATTCAAAACTGTTTTGAGACGGTTATCTAAAATAAATATAAATTGCCCCTTTTACCGCCTAATACTAATGTTCTCTCTAGACATTTCTCTTTTCTTGATTTTTCATCCTCGACAAGTAAACAGTGGTAGACATCTTTGCCCTGACAAACTTTCGTTTCAGATCTGGATTTCCATTCAGTTTCATTCACAGGACAATGAATTATTGACAGAACTCCTGGAAAAAGTACACATACTATTTCAAATGACCAATTATATTACATGTTACTATGGATTCATATGAAATAAGATGAGAGGCGTTTCTCTGACTTAATTATGACATGGCATACATGTTGGGTACAAAGTTGTTTACATGTATATACATGTTTAACTTACGAAAAATGTGGACGACAATTATTAGATGGGTTGTTAAATATTACATCTCCTTGTATAAGTTATGTGTTTTCGAGCAAATTCAACTATAAAAGAAGAGAATATAATTATTATTTCCTTAAGGAGGAGTTAATCTTTAAGGACATTAATGAGATCCATTTATCAAAGCCCACCTTTCTGATTAATTTTTTTATACTTACATGAATCAGTGGTCCTTCGGTATGCAAAGTAAAACACATAGAATACTTTTTTATGTCATTTCATTATAATAATTAATGGATATGAAAAATTAAAGGTCTTAAAATCAAGACTTGTCATCAATAAATGTTGCTATGATAAAAATTTATACAGAATTATGATAACGAAATCTGTATTTATACTACTGTCTTGGTAAGAAACACGAAAAATAAAAAAAGACGTACCTTTATATTGAAGTTTGCAGTCCAAGAAAGAAATATATGCGAAATTCGCAAGTGACGTATACATGGTACTTTCGTTTTATCATAATAAGCTAACTGAAGGCGGTTTTCTCCTTCATTTTTTTTTTAAATGCACGTCATCATTAAAAAGATTTACACTTTCATGCAGATTATACAATTGATCTCTTCAATTCTCCGCAGATCTTCTAAAGGCATTTCTTAATTAATGGCAAAGCAACATACCATGTCTATAATTAGATCACGGAAAATCCTTGCTTTGTTGACATGTCTAAAAATAGTTGACATTGAAAGGTTAAGAAATTCCACATGTTTCAAACACTTACATGACACCATTAATAAAAAAAATAAAATAAAAGACATATCAAAGATTCTTTTGAGATTGGTGAAACTGTTGGCTCGTGCGTATTAGATATCTCTGCAAAATAGCAAAAACTAAAATATTTACTTGTATTTTAATTAAACATGTAGATTTGTTTTGAAGTCTAATTAAACTTATTCGAAGTATTTCTATCTTTCAGCTTTTATCTTTACTTCATACTGCCGGTAAAACATAACAAATATCAATTTTATCATAGCAAACATAGAATGTCTTCATTGGTCATTTTTTATATCCTTTTTGGTTTGTTTTATTCATTTGTTTGGCACAAACGAAATAATTAAACCTAGCGAAAGTCTTGAATTTTTGCAGTTGATTTTAGTATGAGAATAGTTGAAAACTTAAAAATTCTAATCATATGCTTCAATGATCTACTCTACTGTGTGTCACATTCTTCTTGATAGACCTTTTCTGCAATAAGCATTTATTTAATCAGAAAAGACACGATCCCTTTCTGTATACAAAATGGATCCTTTAGTTGTCAACTTGAGAAGCAGTGTCGGGATTTGTTTGTTTGTTTGTTTGTTTGTTTTCTTACACTGGGAGTGGGTTCCGATGGAGCACTTAGTCTCTTACATTTACGTAAGACTTAGAAATGTTTTGAAGAGAAAATAATATTCTTATTTAAGTGTTTGTGTTTGGGGATTGTACAGAAGCCCAATAGTGCAAATGTAACACAATTGATATCCACAGCCGTGTTTAATTACATTGATACCTACAGTCATTTATCTTATTAGTGCTTTGATTAAATAAGACAAGCAAGTGTTTATAGGGCATAATAATCCCTATGCTTGTCTTAAGAAATGTGTATTATATATTAAAGATGAATTAGACAAGCAAGTGTTTATAGGGCACAATAATCCCTAAGCTTGTCTAAGGAATTTGTAAATTCCTTATTATAAATAAAATATTTACGATGTATATTTTTCATGTATTTATAGATATTGTGTTTCTCTTTAAATCAGTTTATAGGTCAGTACTGTACATTGTAAATTAAAATGTTAGATAATAATTTAGTCGGTCAAATCGGGTACTATTGCAAAATGACTTTCTTACATAATTCTTGGAGGAGTTTAAACACTTTCTATCTTAGCCAAGGAAACAAGAAGAAAACAGATAAACATATTACCGTTTATGGGTGAGAAAAATAAACTTCAATTAGTAAAAGTCAACCCCGAAGTATTAATACAAACATTAATATGGACATGGAAATGAACTCTCCATCTTCTACAAAGCAAATGATAAATATACGAATCTATTTTTGGATGCGAATCAATACCTTCCAATTATTAGAAGATTAACTTACTTTCAAAAAGTCATACTAAGGAATCCTTTCTTCGAACAAAAGACCGGAACAATGGACAAACACTCTCCGGTATAAATAGGAGGAACCGGGAGAGCCCAAAAAGACGGCTACTGAGATACCAAGAGAGTCACTGGACCCAGTAATTCCTCCCCTGAACTGGACTGGACTCTTGGGCTAAGTTTTTGGCAATTCCGAACTGTTAACTTTGACAAGACTTTGACTTTTATTCTACGAACTTTATTTGAAAACTATACGATCACTGTTGTTGTTGATGACTATATGTAACTTAATAAAATTTGGTAGAGAGTTTAATCATCTTGTCTTGATTCTAGCTCTGCTCCGTTACATAGAGTCATTTTTGGTGCACCGTGACCAAGGATCACAAAGGTTTGGAGAGATCTTTGCCAACGAACGGGTTGCCAGCTGCATCAAGGAAATTTCCTCAGTTGTTGGTAAGTACACAACTTTACTCCTGTATTTTTAGTTATGGCTGACCAAGAGTTTCTTGCCGCAGTACATGGGTTATCTTCAAAAATGGACAATTTGAATCAAAATTTAAAATCTAATCAAATTAAACAATTTGATGGTAATCCTAAAGAATTTAGGAGATGGATAAAATCTATTGAAAAATTTGCTTTATTAGAAAGAGTCCCGGAAGAAAAAAATAAATTAATTGCTTTTAAATCCAGTTCAGGGGCGGTTAGTGACTTTATTCATAGATATTTGACGGGGGACCCTAATGTAACATGGGATGTTTTAAAGGGGGAATTGTCTGTTCGTTTTGCGGATATAACAGACGCACAGCATGCATTTATGTTGCTTCGTCACATGAAGCAAGAGAAATCTGAAAATGTTCAGATTTATGCTGAACGCTTGCTTTCCCTCGCTGAACAAGCGTATGAAGGTCAAGAAGCTGGCAGAGTTACTGAAGGTAAACTAGTTGGGTTCTTTGTTGACGGGTTGTACTCTGACCGATTAAAATTAAAGGTCATGCGTGACAATCCACGCACTATGCAGGAAGCTATCAATTCTGCTAGGGCTGAACATAACTTGCAACAGCGTTTTCAGCTACGAACCGGTCGCACATATTTTGTCCCTCCAAGTAACACAGGGGAACCCATGGAAATTGATCATTATAGGCAAAGACGGGATAAAAGAAGGGAAAATTTTGACAGACCTAAAATACGACAATATGACAAAGATAAGGTTGCTCCAAAGAAAGTTTTTGTAATAGATCAAACTGCTCAGAAAAGAGAAATTGTTTGCTGGACTTGCAATAGAAAAGGACATATCAGTAGAGATTGTCCTACGAGAAAGGTCGAGGCCATAGATGCCACTGTAGGTGTTGAGGATGAACAATGGGAAGAGTTAAACTAGATAGCTCCGTCCAAAATGGGACCATTGGGGGAGCAAAAGTCGCAAACAAAAATGTAAAAAAAAAAACTACTTTAACAATCAATTCTATTGAAAATCCAAATTCTTGTATTATTAAAGTAAATAAACAAAGATTTAGACCTTTAATAGATACAGGCGCCTCTGTTTCCTTAGTCAGTTCAAATATTTATAGGTCCCTACCAAATCAAACAAAATTGTCAAAACCAAAAGTAAATTTAAAATCTGTAAATGGCGCTGATCTGAAAATTGACGGTTGTACAAACATTGAATTTCAAATAGGAGGTCTAACGCTAACTCATGAATTTTATGTTGTTCAAAATGTAAATAGGTCGTTTATTCTGGGTAGAGATTGGTTAGTGCAAAATGGTGTTAGACTTTATTTTGATCTTGGTAGTTTACGAATCGGGAAAACGTATGTTCCGATGGTAGAAGATATTCACATAGCCTCAATCCTAAGAGCTTCCAAAAGGACAATCTTAAAACCTCAGTAGGCGACTATCTGCTTTGCGAAACATCGCGATCACGCGAATTTTCAAAATAAATCCATTCAAATAAGTGCAATTGAAAAGGGATTTAAAAGCGAAGAACCAGGGCTAATGATAGGAAATGCAATTGCTAAAACCAAACAATCGCGTAAAATCCCTGTCTTAATAGTGAATAATACAAATAAAACGTTCAAAATTAAAAGAGGTTGTGTAGTCGGCCGAATTGATGTCGTTGATGAGAAAACAATTGAAACAATAAATGAAATAAAGAGCGGAAAACAAATTGACAAAACTTCTATTGAGTTACTTACGGAATTAGACGTTTCTCCAGAGCATAAAGAAATGATCTTTGAAAATCTGGTAAAGCAAAATAAAGATTTATTTGCTCAAACGGACGCTGAGTTAGGACATACAAATACGGTCAACATGAAAATCGATACTGGTGATCATTCACCCATAAAAATGAAACCGTACCGGACACCTTTAAATAAAAGGGCAATTGTTGACAAAGCGATAGATGAAATGTTAAGTGCAAATATTGTCAAAAGGTCAAAATCACCTTGGAGTTTTCCTATTGTGGTAGTGGATAAGAAAGACGGATCGAAACGCTTTTGTGTTGATTTCAGACAATTAAATAAGATCACAAAAACAAATTCTTTCCCTTTACCTTTAATTGATGATTTATTGGATCAGTTGGGAAAAGCTACTTATTTCACTTCATTAGATCTTAAATCAGGATATTGGCAAGTACTTATGGATGAGAAAGATAAAGAAAAGACTGCATTTGTTTGTCATAGAGGGTTATTTGAGTTCAATGTAATGCCTTTCGGACTATGTAATGCACCGCAAATATTTTCAGAATTAATGTCTGTAGTTTTACAAGATCTGGGATCTTTTGCGTTAGCATATTTAGATGACATACTAATTTTCTCAAGAAGTATTGAAGATCATGAAAAACATATTCAAATTGTTTTTGATAGATTGAGAAAATACAGTTTAAAATTAAAAGCAAAGAAATGTAGCTTTGTGAAAGAACAAACAAAATATTTGGGGTTTGTAATTGACAAAAACGGAGTAAAACCTGACCCTGATAAAGTTTCAGCAATCCGTACTTTGGTATGTGCAGTTATTACCGGCGATTTATTCCAAACTTTTCAAAAATCGCAGAACCGCTAATAGATTTGACAAAGAAATACTCGAGATTTAAATGGACCAACAAATGTCAACAATCATTTGATTTTCTAAAAGAAAGTTTAACAATTGTACCTCTATTGGCTTTTCCGGATATAAATAAAGAGTACATTCTGTATACTGACGCTTCAGATACAGCTATCGGCGCATGTCTTGTTCAACCGTGCGACAATATTGATCAAGTAAACATACCAGGTGTTAAGAATGAAAAACCTTTGTATTATTCATCTCATAAGTTAAGTGATACACAAACACGCTGGTCAACTGTAGAAAAAGAAGCTTTCGCTATTCACTTCGCGTTACAAAAATTAGACCATTATTTACACAACGCAAAGTTTGTAATTCGCACTGATCATAAGCCATTGAAATACATATTAGACGCGCCTATGAAAAATAAGAAAATTCAATTGTGGGCACTGGGAATTTCAGGTTATAATTGTCAAATCGAGTATTTACCGGGAACTGAAAATACATGTGCAGATTTGTTGTCAAGAACACCAATTGAAAATTGTAAAAACAATTCAAACGCAGATAAAATAGTTCAAAATAATGAACCTGACGTACATGAAAACTCTCTTGAAATAAACTTTATCAATTCTAATGCGATAAATCCGAAAGATTACGCGAGATGCGATATTGAAGAACCAGATATTCCTTTTAAACCACAATTAACTTTGAATGGAAGTGAAGAAACAGAAGTTGATGTGTCTAAAGAACAATCAAAAGATCCCGAAATAGTTCAAATCATGAAAAACATACAAAGCGGACAAGCTAAGAAATCAGTTGGGGACAAACATCTAATTATCGAAGATGTATTATATCATTTATCAAATCCAGATAATGACCCAGTCTTAAGATTGTATGTACCTAAACATTATCAATCAGGGGTAATTAAACAATACCATGATGACAATGGGCATTTGGGGATTGATAAAACATTTGACGCGATTATGCAAAAATATTACTGGCCTAACCTGTACAGAGAATTGTATGATTATGTTAGCAAGTGTGTTACCTGTGCAACGCGTAATCTAAAGAAAATACGCGCCCCAGTTCAAGAAACGGACATTCCGCCCTTCCCTTTTGCTAAAATTGGGTTAGATCTATCAGGTCCTTATCCGAAGTCTTTATCGGGAAACAAGTATATTCTGGGATTTGTAGATTTATATTCAGGGTGGGCAGAGGCCTTTGCTGTTCCAGATAAGACGGCTGCAACTATTGCACATCTTATTATAGAGGAAATATTACCTAGATATGGTGCTCCCTTGCAAATTATTACTGACAATGGTACATAAAACGAAAATAAACTTGTAAAAGAGACGTTAGAAGAATTAAACATCACTCATGTTAAAACGTCCTATTACCATCCTCAAAGCAATGCAAAAGTAGAACGGTTCCATAGAACGCTTCATGATGTCCTTGCAAAGAAATTAGAAGATAATTTAACAACTTGGGACATATTTTTAAATCAAACTTTGGCAGCAATTCGGTTTAATATCAGTGAGTCCTCAGGTTTTTCACCATTCTACTTACTTTACAGTCGCGATGTGGTTTTACCAATAGATAACATTTTAAAACCGCGACGTAGGTACATGGGAGAAGACCCTCATAAAATCGCTTTAGAACAACAACATAAAGCTTTTACATTAGTACACAGAATACTAAAACGGTCTAAACGAAGACAAGCTAAATATGCGAATAAAAATACAAAAGACGTGGAATTTAAAATTGGAGATCCCGTGTACTATAAAAATAATCATCGGCAAAGTAAACTTCAGTCTAAATGGAAACCATTCTATAGGATAATTGAACAAATCTCACCTGTTACCTTTAAAATCAAAAGTCAATTAGACGGCAAGGTCACTAAAGCACATAAAGAATTATTACGGTTAGCAAAGATTGATGAATGGGAACTACCAACGAACGAGCAAGGTAGACCGTTACGAAAAGCCGCTTATGTAATGCCTCCTGAATCGCAGTCCGATAATAATGATGACAATTCTGAAACAAATAATGAAGAACAAAATTCGGATAATGAATCGATTGATAATAATATGTCTGAAATTAATGATAATATGTCTGTAAATTCAGATAAGGATTCAGTTCATTCCGATTCAAATAAATCTATCAATAATTCATCGAGCGATGACAGTGAGGATAATATTCCGCTGGCAAAATTAGCTAAAAAATATCGCAAGGAGAGAGATAATTCTTCATCCGAAGATGATATTCCATTATTTGAATTATCAAAACGTTTAGAGCAAGCAAAGAATACTGAAAATTTACAAAATGACACTCAGAGCGAAACGGAATTGAAAACAGATCGAAGTGATGATACTTCTGAAAGTAGCCATAGTTCATTTATGGAGATAAATGAATGTAAGAAACATCTAACGAAGGAATTAAAGAAACGCTGTCCATCTTCAAAAACTAATGTGAAACAACTGTTACGAACAATAGCTGATTTATTATAAAATTAAAGAGTATATAACATATAATAATGACTGTAATTAAAAGGAATCTATCAATCTCAACTCGGACAAAATAACCTTGTGTAAAATTTGAAAAAAAATATTATGCTAGAATAGAAAATATTGTACCATTTCCTATTCAGTTAAAAACAAACCTGATGTATATCAAAAAATATAAATATATGTAATAAAAAAAATATCTTGAAAATATTTTGTAACCAATTGTAATATTATCTTCTATAAAGATTAAATTTTGTGAAACATACACATGCAACCATTCGGACAAAATTACAAGACCTTGAGACTGTACCTATGGACAGACTTGTTAAGGATTAACTCAAAGAGAAAATATTGACCCCACTTCTCCTTTTAAATATTGGCCAAATTGGGTCTATGCTATTCTGGGACTTGGGATTGCCCTTGTTTTAGGGTTGGGTATATCGTAAGAAGCGTTGGTCAGCTAGGCTATGGCAGGGTGTAAAGAGTATCAAAAGATCTGGTGTCGCAACTGAAGAGTTTCCATTGGTGACGATTAATTCGTCTGGCGCAGGTGACGTTGGCAGGGATTTGAAACCTTCTGCACCAATGATGACCTCTGGTGATGGATACGAGATAGATAAAGATACCATCAAAAAGCTCTATCCAAATGTTACTGCGAATATACAGTAAGTCGATCCCTCTCGTTAGAGCCGAGGATTGTGAATATTGAACTTTTACATTTTTTTTTTAAATGAAACTTATGAACAATTTGTAAGTCGATCCCTCCTTCGTGGAGCCGAGGATCGTGAATAGTGGACATTTATTTATTCTTATATATATATATATATATATATATATATATATATATATATATATATATATATATATATATATATATATATATATATATATATATATATATATATAGACGTGATTTTGTGATTTTATCTCCATAGAAACTAGTTACCGTATACCTTATCTACATAGAAACTAGTTACCGTATACCTGAAGGATTTATCCTACAATATATATTCGTCTTCTACTGTGAGATGTTTGGAAAACCAATTGTGTTTCAACTTATATATATATCTACGCGAGTATGAATTAAACTTAATTCATCTCTAGTAAGGGAGGAATGTAACACAATTGATATCCACAGCCGTGTTTAATTACATTGATACCTACAGTCATTTATCTTATTAGTGCTTTGATTAAATAAGACAAGCAAGTGTTTATAGGGCATAATAATCCCTATGCTTGTCTTAAGAAATGTGTATTATATATTAAAGATGAATTAGACAAGCAAGTGTTTATAGGGCACAATAATCCCTAAGCTTGTCTAAGGAATTTGTAAATTCCTCATTATAAATAAAATATTTACGATGTATATTTTTCATGTATTTATAGATATTGTGTGTTTCTCTTTAAATCAGTTTATAGGTCAGTACTGTACATTGTAAATTAAAATGTTAGATAATAATTTATTCGGTCAAATCGGGTACTATTGCAAAATGACTTTCTTACATAATTCTTGGAGGATTTTAAACACTTTCTCTCTTAACCAAGGAAACAAGAAGAAAACAGATAAACATATTACCGTTTATGGGTGAGAAAAATAAACTTCAATTAGTAAAAGTCAACCCCAAAGTATTAATACAAACATTAGTATGGATATGGAAATGAACTCTCCATCTTCTACAAAGGAAATGATAAATATACGAATCTATTTTTGGATGCGAATCAATACCTTCCAATTATTAGGAGATTAACTTACTTTCAAAAAGTCATACTAAGGAATCCTTTCTTCGAACAAAAGACCAGAACAATGGACAAACAATCTCCGGTATAAATAGGAGGAACCGGGAGAGCCCCAAAAGACGGCTACTGAGATACCAAGAGAGTCACTGGACCCAGTAATTCCTCCCCTGAACTGGACTGGACTCTTGGGCTAAGTTTTTGGCAATTTGACAAGACTTTGACTTTTATTCTACGAACTTTATTTGAAAACTAAACGATCACTGTTGTTGTTGATGACTATATGTAACTTAATAAAATTTGGTAGAGAGTTTAATCATCTTGTCTTGATTCTAGCTCTGCTCCGTTACACAAACCGAAATTATTAAATAAAGAAAAACGAAATTATTAGATAAAGAAAAGCGAAATTATTAAATAAAGAAAAACGAAATTATTAGATAAAGAAAAGCGAAATTATTAAATAAAGAAAAACGAAATTATTAGATAAAGAAAAGCGAAATTATTAAATAAAGAAAAACGAAATTATTAGATAAAGAAAAGCGAAATTATTAAATAAAGAAAAACGAAATTATTAGATAAAGAAAAGCGAAATAATTAAATAAAGGAAACAAAATTATTACATAAAGGAACACAAAATTATTACATAAAGGAAAATAAAATTATTAAATGAAGAAAAACGAATTATTGAATAAAGAAAAACGACATTTATAAATGGAGAACTGCACTAAAATACGGAATTTATAGATGTGCATGATAAAGGCCTGAACCCATGAACCATTCCATAAAGCGCACGTGTTATAAAGCATCACTTAGAAATTCTTTAGACCTTATATTGTTTCGACATTACAAACGTTTGGGGGGAATGAAAAATTAAAAAAAGAGAAAGTAATATCAAATTAACAAACGTAGAAAAAAAAACCCCTAAAATTCACATTTCCGTAAACGATTCATAAACTGTTTATTAATTTTATTTACGGGAAATTGCTGCTGTGTCGTATCCGCACAGCATCATTCTTGGAGCCTGTAAGATTGGAGGTAACGAGGATGGCTGTTTCTGCTTTGGTGGCAGTGTGTACAAACATTGCATGCTTGTACTTTAGCAGTTTTTGTCTGCCACCTTTTTTTTTACTGATTGTTAATGTTTAGATTCTGGATTGTTTATTTGGATTTCTTCATGTTATATGTTACACTGGGGAGATCAACTAATGTTTTGAACAAATTTACACATTTTTTTCAAGAGTGATCTCCCCTTTATCTGATGTATCTTTCCATCATCTGTCGTCATTTATACATGTATAATAAATGACAAATTCATGCATCAAACTTTGTGTTTGCGTTACTTTAATATGGAGGTGACATGGTCTACATTAATTTAGAAGTGTGCATGTGTGCAAAAAACTAGCTTCAGTGAACTTGTGAAATTAGTTAAATTACACTGGAGAACATAAATGACTTTCCAATAGAGCTCATAAACCGCTAGAAGGTCAAGAGCTTGCGAATCGTATAACAGAATTCCCCCAAACTAAGCCTAGCGTCCTATATGTTTGTGCCAATAATTCCTAGATTGATAAAACTATAAAGAGAAAAATGACTTGATTACTTTATGGAATTTGTTATGTGCAAGTTTGTGCATCGTTTGTTCAACAAATATCACCGACTTAAAAACGGAACGGAATTATTCTGAATTTAATAACTTAAAATTCACAAATATTATCATAGTTACACGATATATAATATACATGTAAATATTAAATTCCCCACTATTAAATACAAGTTGATTTAATTTGTCATGCTCAGACTCTTATTTACGAAAATCGCTGACATAGCAGTCATGTAGAATCGAATTTGATAGGTGCATGGGGATGGGTAAACGTACTTGAAAATTATTTGACAAGCAAAAAAAAAAAATAAATAAAAAACAAAAAGAAGACAATTGTTTTATTGGGAGGGGGGTACGTTCCAAGTATAATATGTTTCAGTGCTATTTTAATTTTTACACTTGCTTATTTTATTTATTACATTAACTTAAAGTGTGAGGGTTTTAAAAATGTGTGTATGTGAAGTACTTGTAGGGGGTATATTTATATATTCTTATTGGGAGAACAATTATTATTTGTCATTTTATTTATTTCATTCTTATTAAAATCGTACTCGCTCCATACGCATGTACGTAGTTCTGAGCGTAATAAAGATCTGATATAATCAATAGATATATTTTTGTAAGAAATTGTTCGGTAAATATTTATAAACGAACTTTCTACTATAAATGAAATCTAAATATATCACGTGTACAATAGGTTAATTCAGTGTTTGTCAAACATTTAAACTACGATTAAGCAAAACATTAAGAATAACAAAAATAATTCAGAACTAAATAACGCATGAATTTGAAAGGTATTTTGTTTAGATGCTCTCTTCACTTTCTTTTTTACACCATTCGATACATTGAGAATCGATTCAAAAACTTATTTCCTCTTCTATTTTTGTTTTGCCGTTATAAATAAAGAACAATAATACCTCATAGCTCGTGCTGTTTGATAGATAACTTGGAATTTCATGGGATAGAAATTTCGAAAGCAGAGAAATCAAGGAAATTATTTTCTATCTATGTCAAATGTACAATTAAATTTTGGAAAATTTATCAATGTTCTCCATAATGTACATGTATCGATCGCCAAAACAACAATGATCGATTCCGAAATTCCATTACTGTTGTGGAATAGGGGCGGGGCTTACTGGCGGCTAGAATAAAGCGGGGTGCGAACCCGGAGCGCACCCAAGGCGTACCCAGAGCGGTCATAAAATTTCTGAAACCGAAACCGGAGCGCACCAGGGTCCGCTTTGGATTCGTTCTGGTGTTACAATGTAGGTTGTGTTCGGTCGGTACTGTACCTGGAGAAGATGTGCGGATTCTGAACGCCCACTGATCGTGGCTGGTTGTGAACAGCTATGATATCTCTCATGTAAACTGTAGATAGGCTGCGAAGGGATTTGAAAGTGTACAGAAGTATTTTATAATAGATTCTGCATTCAACTTGAAGCCGATGAAAATGAATTTAAGTTGGAGTTATTTGATCGGATGTTTTAGAGTGTGTGATTACTTTTGCAGCAGCATGTATGCAAAATTAAAAACATAAAATGAGATACAAATTCTTCAATAACTTTAAAGGGTATGAGAAATTGGTTACCTGCCAAAAAAGTTTTCAAAATCAAAACTGTGTACTCGTATTTCATTGATGGTTGGGGTGGCTTATGAGGAACGATTAACT